TCCCTACAGACAACAGTGCTGTCATATTCTGCATGCCATTTTGAGGGCGAGGCTTTAAATGTCTATAAATTAGGAAACCTAATCTGGCATACACTTGGGAGGGCAACAGCAGCTGCAGTTGAGCCACAGTAGCTCTATCTGACAGAGTAGGCATGACTCAGCTCATTAAAGAGGCGTTTTGCCATCTCTGCCTCTGCAATATTTTTGCAGCAGCATAACTTGCTGCTGTGGAATACTACCCTTGTGGAGTCTCTGAATGTGATAAAGCAAGAGAATGAGTGTACAAGGAAAATACAGCAGTAACACACACACACACACACATAAGTGGGAATCTGAGAATGATGCAAAGATTCATTTTAAAAGCTTAAGTCTGTGATTGGTAACTTTAAACTCTTAAGAGTTATGTCGAACTAGTCACTGTTTTTGATGCAACACTTATCTAAAATCATGATTCCACTGCATCACCTGCAGAACTAAAGTGCCCAGGTTATTATCAAACTTAAAATGATATAAGTACTGAGACTAAACTGATCAAACACAAATTCCTTCCTCATATTAAGGAAGCCTTCACTGTCGACACTCCATACATGCCTAACAGACAAGGAGCTGTGGTCAGGAAGAACTTGATTTCTACAATTTAGACATTTCACACAACAAAAAATAATTATGGCAGCTAAATTAGATGAACTAGGGTTACACCTAGGGCTGGGAAATAAAACTTTGATTCTGATGATTAATACTACTACTACTGTTACATTAATTCCAACCATAATCACTGAGCCTCAAAACTGTCTGACCAACTTTCTGACCTAAGGTGTTTCCAGCAAATGTGAATAACATCTAATGCCAAGTATCTACAGTATCTTCAAAGAGGAACAGAAAAGACTGCTTCTAGCCAAAGGCCATCATAAATAACCCAACAACCCTAAAATAGAGTGAGTGAAAAAAAGCCTGTGATCATGCCTGGGGCTGGCTCTGTCAGGTCCCTGCTCTGATGTTGGCATTAAGGACTAGATGGAACCCTCTGGGTAACTCTGACTAAGATCTGGATAACATCTGATGGATGTGAAAGCCAAAAAGCCAGATTAAAAAGTCCTACTTTAAATGTTACCTAGTTATTACATTTAGAGCAGTAGTTTGTCTCTGTGGCAAGTACTCTTAGTTGTTTCCACTGGACTGTGTGACATGGGAATGAGATCAAAGATCAGTCGCTATCGGTAAAACTGTCAGCTAAAGACAAGATGATGGAGCCAGGCCATTTCACATCTGCCAGTATGACAATTCATTCAACTGATTTTAATAGGGTAGAAAAGAAAACCTCCAGTAAAAAAAAAAAGAAAAAAAAAGGCAACAGCAGCAGCCTGAGTCCACAAAGGCATTGCAGATGGGCCCTGACCATGTAATTTCACTGCCTGACATTTTCTCCCAATTTTGTCACATCTAACCCATAGAAATATGCAATTAAAATTCAAAAACTTATGGCAGACCTAAAAGTCATTGCAGACAAATCACTATGTTATACTACTTGGGTGTACTGTGTCACTCCCAGCAAATCCCAGCCAGCTGCACAGGCAGTTCCCACAGGTTCTTAGAGGGTGCCTTGGCTTCTCTTCCTCATCTTTCAATGTTTGGCTTTAGCCAGCACTGGAGAAAAAGGAGGTGGGGAAGCAGCAAGTGAAAGATGACATGGTTGAAGATAGATGAGTGAGCAAGAGAGAGGAGGATCCTAAATTTATTCCTCTTTTTTCATCAACTTCCTCCCTGTGGTGACCTACCTATTGTTCAGACATGCCTGCAACGTGAGATGTGAGACAAATGTATGGGTTCATGGGTGGGGTCACTAAGAATGAATGCCAAGAAATTCTTAGATGATTATGGACAGATGGCCTTTCAGACTGAATAAGCCACGACCATTTCATTTAAATTTTACACACTGAAGTGTTTAGCCAGAATAGTTTGAAGGAAGATGACCACTCCGGTCTGAAAAACCTGCTCTGATATCTGATGCAAAATTTCCACTTGTCCAAGGGAGGAAGATTAAACCATTGTTAATCCGGGAAAACCTGTCAGACTGGTTTCATTAGTACACACATGGGTTCTGCTGTTGTTTCCAGCTGACACCAAATTCACAGTGAACTAAAGTAGCAAGGCTCATTATTTTCTGCTTCACTGAATCTAGCATCAACAGGAAACAAAACAATGCGTAGGCCTACATTAACAGGATGAACCCCGACTTCCTTCTTAAATAGTGAGGTCTTAAAACGTGTTCACCTTTAGGAAAATATTAGCATTTTTCATGCTTATAAAAGCAGAAAATTGGAAAATGATCAATATACTCTATCACTCCAAAGCTCCTAAGAGAAAATGGCAATAATTATAACTTTCTGCTAAGACACTGGTCAATTGAAACTGAACTTAAATAGCATACAGAAAATAATGCATGCTAACACTATATTCCATTAATTATGCCTTCAAGGTGTATTTTAGAGTGTAACACTAGCGCTTGAGTAATCACAGCACAGCTTAAACAACCAAGTGATAGTCTGTGCAGATTCTCAGTCATCCAGGTCATAGTAGGCTGAAGAAAAAAAAAAAAAACTTCAACTGGACTAGGTTTTTAGGTCAAAGACGTTTCACCTCTCATCCAAGAGGCTTCATCAGAAGAAACATCTTTAACCTAAAAACCTAGTCCAGTTGATTTTTCTAAGTTTTTTCAGCTAACCAAGTGAGAGGGAATTTCAGTTTCTCATGTAGTCAGTTTCTAGCACTGAAACTCTTGAGTTCACAGAGGTTCAAAGTGGAATGAATGTTATATTACATGTTCATATTTCATAACAAACTACATGCATAAAACAAAGCTAGCTCTCATTCAACTGTAAATATTTCAATAAATCCCCTCTTTTCACTGGATCAGTCTTGGATACAAGCGGCAAGATGAGAAGGATGAAGTAAAATGTATGACATTAGTATGTAACTACTAGCAATACCGGTGGCAGTGTGTGGGTGTGTCTAAGTGATTTCACGAAGCTTTCTATGCCTGCTACAGTACTTAACCAGCAGTTGGCAGGTAAGCTGCTTTGAGGTCAAAAGAAAGATAAAGAGAGTAAAGTTTAGAAAATGATGAAAGCATACTGCCCTGTGGTATAATATTAACTAAAGGAAGTAGGAACACATGGGGTATGTGAGCTTTGCTTGGGGAAAAAAAAAAGTTAGTAAAGTTGTGAAAGACTGAGGAAGTTGAAAAGAGTGGGAGGTGGACAGAGGTTAAGAAGCAGGCCAGCTTGCTGCTTTTTACACAGGAGATTCCTCTGACAAGAATGTGACCCATTTTACATTCACAGAAGCATTCAGAGCAGAAATGTACTGAGCATGCGTGTGATTCGCTCTGTGTGAGGGGGAGGGGCACGTGTCTCTAATCTTCACATTGTTCTGAACCCAGCGTGCATGTGTAGTAATGGCTCTGTGTTGCCGTGTGAGGCCTGACAGCAAAAGCAAATGTTTATGTGGTGAATGAGGTCAGATTTTGCTACGGGGTTATGTAGCTGCTTTAGATAGACAGTCAGCAGAGATTTTCTCAAGTACTTTTAAGAAAATGAAAAACTATTGCTCTGAAGCAGCTTCAAAACAAAATGATGAATTCTTTGAGAAACACTATTTAAATATACTGTACACAACAGTATATTAAGAATCAAAGATATATGTGAAAGCAAGAAGAGAACTTGGTCAGAAATCAGATTAGTGAGGAAGACCTGTGGAAAAAAATATAACATTATATATCATTCAAATATAACTACTGTAGCCAAAGCTAGCCCTGGATATCACTGTATTTTAGAGTTTTACTGATTGTCATTGCATTTTACATATGTTACATTTTCAAAAGGTTTTAAAATAATCTAAATAATCTCCCCTTTAGCTGACAAGGATTTACCCAGTTATAACTTTTAATATATTGTTATGCCAATACTGTATATTTGGAAGGCAGTTATAATTCATATAAATAGTATTCAAAGTCCTCCCCAGTGTGAAAACTGAACATATGAAACCATTATCACTACATCAATTTTATGCAAAGCCAGTGCAATTTAAAAAAAAAAGCCTACCTCAGAAACTAGTACAAGATTATTTCCTGTGTTTAAAGTATAGTTATAATGTTATAAACATTCTCTTTACAAAAGATTTGCAGACTTTGGTAATCAGACAGTGTCTTATGGTGAAGTAGGCACTTTTTGCTTCATACTTTCAGTCTTAATTTCAGTCATGCCAACCAGTATGGACTCCGCTGAACTAAGGCAAAATGGGGAAATGGAAAGTTTTTTGATACTTTTTTTTTTTTTTTTTTACAAAAGAAAGGCAATGTGAAACAATCAAAAGGGAAATTCTAGCCATGTCTCTACAAGGAGAAATTGCACAGTGTGTAGTTCAGGTATTAATACAGAAGGAAATAGATTTGGCTCTACTCCACCAGGCTTAAATCAGGTAAATGCAAACAACCTAAACAAAAGGAAATGATGACTCATGCAAAAGAATGCAACACTATGGGTATCTCAGAACATTAATCATCGATGTCTTCTTAACTGCTCATGTGCTGAGTCAATACACAGGAAGTGTTTTGAAATGACAGCAATGGAGACAAAGCACGTAAGAGGATAATGTGAAGCATTAGCATGAAGAACGGGAGTAGATTAACACACAGCCATCATTCTAACAGCTAACTTGTCCCACAATCATTTTAGTCATCAACTGCACCCCAGCTAATGCTAATTCACCTCCCTGCTGTTATGCTTTAGCAGACTAACATAGTTAGCTAAGGCTCCTGCAAGCATACCAAGATGCCTGCCACACAGTGTCAATCTCTGTTTCTAATGTAATCTGATGCCACATGTCTTATCCACGTTTCTCTACTTAAAGAGTCAGGGTTTTTTTGGGTTGTTGTTGTTGATCAGCAGCCTTTAAGACTTAACTTTGGGTTCTTTTTCTTGTTGGTAGTGCATCCTACCAAAGAGTTACTTTTAGGCTTTTTTTTTTTTTTTGTAAAAAGACCAAAGTGTCAAAAAGGCACCTTCATCCAATGCAAAGTTAATAGAGAGCAAGGTGTGCATGGTTTTCAGAGTATGTATGACACGTTGCACTCTGTCTCTATAGCAACAAAGTAAGCAGTAAAAACAATGGTTATCCTAATGTCATACCTGTAGCTCACACCAAGCCACCTCCACAGTTGTCTCTGTGTCCAAGCCCTTGTAGACGGTCTTGAAGGAGCCACGTCCAATTTCTATATCAAACTTCAGAAAACGCCCATCTGGTGATGTTCCTACTGCTTTGGTCTCTGCCTCTTCGATGTCATCCTGCACTTTTTTCTCCGCTTCTCTCTGCTCTGCCTCTGCTCGTGCCTTGGCAGAGTCCTTATCTTCTTCCTCCCCCTCGTCATCATGATGTACCCTAACCTCAGTGGTGCTTTCAGGTTCTGCTTCAGTTGGCAAATCTCTTCCTAAGCTTGGTGCAGAGTGAACTGCTACCACCACCCCTCCATCAAAGATATTTTGTACATTAGTATGCTCCTGCTCTGAAGGCACTATATCCACCTTGGCTATATCTTTTTCTTCATCTCCTCCACCAGTCTCCTCATTTTTAGCTAAACTTGATCCAGCTGGCAAAAGTTGAAGAGCAGCAGCCACCGGCTGGCTGCCAAGGGACAGCTGCTAGTCGCTGAATCCGTTGAGGTGCAGGGATAGGTATCTTGCTGGGTAAAGGGAGGGCCAGTGCCGTAGCATTGGAATCACTGATGACACTGCGACGCAAAAAACGATGTTCTGGGTTACATCGATCACGCTCCATGGTGTGATGCCGGCGTCTCACTTCTGTTGGCTGGCACTCGCTCACCATCGAATCTGAACTTGGGCCATTTCCACTCTTCTGAGGGGGAGCTAAGAACTTCACCATTTTACTGTCTGGCTTTCCCGACATCCCACAACACACACTAAGAGTAAGCGGGTACAATATCTGAAATTTTAAAATAAGGATACTTCCATGTCCGCCATGTAAGCTTATATAAGCAGTACCTGTGCTTTAAAAAGAAAAAAGATAGAATTTGAAGGATTTTCTATCTCTGCTTATCTTTTGTTACTGCTCAAAAACAGTCTTTATATGTATAGCGCTGAGATTGGAGGTTTAAGATGGGAGGTGTTTTCTTGTAAATGGAAAAAGACTGAACACTGCAGCAGAACACAGAGTGCCGATGTTGATACACAAGTCTATTCAAGTCCACACCATCCATTCTGTAAGACGCTCCTATCAAGCATAAGGAATCACTGGTGAGGAACAAACACACACAGCCTACCACAGGCACCAAACTTCCTCATGTAAGCAAAGGTAGAAATGCCAGTCACTCCAGATATGCTCCAGTTCAGTTTCACTGCAAAAAAACAAAACAAAAAGAAAACAAAGTTGTCTCAGATGTTTAGAAAAATAATCATTGTCAACAAGATTTGTAAAACACCAACCTAAGTGCTCATAAATAGAATTTACAGTGTCCATAAGGTTTACATTGCTTTACTCAGAAGTTCAGCAGAGAGATACCATGTATCAAGTGCTTCAGACATTACCACTTAAATGCATGTGCATTTTTAGTGTACGGCACTGAACCACTAGATCCTTTTGCGATACACTTTTGATTAATGAAGAATAAAAGGCTCCACAGTTCCTCTTCTCTGGTAAGATTTGTGGTTTTGCCTTGAACAGTAAGGCATGTTTGCCTTCATTGCAGCTCCTAATGGGCAAGTTGATTATATTCTTCAGCCCAGTTAATATACCATTCAACTGATTTGTTTAGTTATGTGTAACTGTTTGACTAAATCAAGTACAAATATAAATAAGCATTTAATTATGTAATGTGGGACAAATCCCAACTGCATTAGATAATCCTTATGAATGACACACTAACCTCTCCTTGCCTCACCTTTGTTAAATACCAGAAGAAACTAATGGAGCACAGTTGACAGCTAATTATCTCTAATTATTATACTCCCCAGTATAATCAAGAAATCATATATCATTATTCAAAAGGTTAGTGAATCTAGTCTGCATTGCTACTAACATTATCCACTATCAAACCCGCTTCTGTGCACTAACATTAATGTGGCTGCAAACAGCAACGCTATTTAGATCATTTGTTGTAATGCTAATTATTAGTAGTCTTGCATCACACCATATTTTACAGTGGTTTAAATAGGGACACTTGTAATAGCAATCTTACTACTTATAAATCATCTACAGTATACCCTGCCATGGTTGCAGCCATTACCAGTGTAGGTAAGCGCAATGTCAGGAATACTCCCTATAATGTTAGTGGTAACAACATTACAATAAAAAAAGGACAGCGCGTATAATTTCAACTATTATTTTAGTTAACCTAAACCTTGTCTTACGTACCCATTTCTTCACTGCTTTATAAATGATACCACAGCCATTTGAAATGGCATCATCGACCATACAAAGCGAGGAGGAGCAATGTCTCTTTGTTAGCTGCCTAACAAGCACGGCTAGCATAGGGCTAGTTTTAGCAGGCGTTAGCTAATCCTTAACCAGCGAGTCATTAACCAACAATGAATGATTTCCACGTCACGTCTGTTTTTAATATTTTCCGCTGCGTTGTTACCAATTCAGCTTAATGTTACACTAACATAACGTCAGATGACCAACATTGTCATTTAACATTTCCGAGACCATTAGTATTTAGCTAACACTAGCGTTTAGCTACACTATACTGATAACTTTATCGTACCCACGTCCAGTTTCCATTCCTGGAGGAATATCATTACAGACCGTGCGAACACAACGGATACCTTGAGACAGTATGACACCGGTTGTAAAGCTAGCTACCAGACAGTGACAAACAGCGCCACTGTACAAACTAAGCTAACGCTAACTAGCTAGGCGGATCTTGCTATTGGCCTATAAAGCTAGACTCACGTCTTGACTCTCCCTATTCAAATTTAACATTATCTGAAGCGACAACACAAGCGTGTCTTTGTTACTGGGCAGTATACGAGTATAATTTTACTTGCTAGGGCACGACTACCATTAGTAACCGAGTGGTGCACTAATGACATTTGCTTCTGTTTAAGCTATTGTCCGTTAGTAAATCTAGTTTAGCTAACAGTTAGCAATGTAGCTAACCCTTCACGTCCTAGTTAACGATCGGTGCCGGGTGGTAGATATCGACCTACCTCACAAATGACGGTCAGTGGCACTGAAATTATCTTCAAAGCATGAATCCGATTTAGAACGTATAAAAGTGAACACATGTACATTATCCTTTGGTCTCAGGCAAAGAATCTGGCCCCGTCGGTGAATATTAAAGATGAATTTTGCGGGCTCACTTTCAAACAAGCGTCGCAGTTCCTACATGTTGACAGAAAACGGGTTTTCCCCCCCCAACAAAGCGCGTGCGCCGATTAAGCATGACATCATAACCATAACACACTGAAGCCTAGTCTATCTGAATGTATGCATACTTACAATCAAAAGCAATTTGAATTCAACCCTAAAATTGTTTATAGTAGATGGGCTTAGATATAACTAATTCTAATTGCCATGACATTCATTTAAAGAAAAGTTTATCCAAGAGTCAATTTCTTTTGGAATCTGTATATGTAAAATGTTAATTTGAAGAAAACATGCCCACTGTCATAGAAAGAAGAAGCCTTGAAAAAATACATCTAACATTATACATGTAATTTGTCTGGATAATACATAGGCTAGTTCATTTGTGTTTTAGATTCCCGCCTCACTAATGATGTCAGAAGTGAACCCGAACCACTTACTTCACTCAGAACTTTAAGATTGCATTGAGACTTTTTCATTTACAGTAATGCCATTTTTCTGAACAAAATACTGAATAAAATTACAGAGTAGGCTATACTATTATATCTTATTATTGCATTTAGGAGAAATGTAATTTGTATGTGTGAAGGCTAATATTTGATTGAACATTCTATTTATAGCCTTATGATATACGTATAGAAAGCATTTCAAAGAATTTTTTTTTTTTACAAGTCATCTATTAACAAATATGGTCCTACTATTAAAACGTGGATCAAAATGAACTGTATGTAAGGCTACTAATCTGCTGCTCTTCAAGCTCAAATTTATTAGACCACAAATGTCTGGAAAAAGCACCCCCATTGTATTCTGTTATAATGACTGCCTAATATAGTATCATGGCATATTGTTATACACAACTCAGTTTCGTTCTGGGGCCTATTTTGTTTACTAGAAACTCAGTAAAACCATTATATTTTGTAGCAACCATTTCAGAGATGCATATTTACAGGTAAGCACTGCCCCCTGATGGTTGCTGACTAAACATACCATAACAGACAGAATCAGAATCAGCTTTTCTGGCCAGGTGTGTTGAACACGCCAGGAATCTGACTCTGCTACAGTGGCCCTCAATCTGTATGTGCAATGTTCTTTCGTAAGATAATGAGTAAACAAGATAAGACTGAGAGAACATAAAAGAAAAAGAATGTGCAAACAAGAAAAAGGCAACACTGTATCTCCTTTTTAATTATTTTACACGAAATGAAATGGCTGCTGAAGGCAGTAGCCTATGTTCATAATGTCAAATGGTTATTTAATATTTAATATCAGAGAAAGGTAATCATTGAATAGTAATAAACTATTTCCATTGGTGCCCGCGCATAAAAATTAATTAGAAAACCCTCCAGACCATTACGTTTACTGTTTTCATTATATTTATTATTAAAAACGAGATATTTTGGCAAAATGTCAGTAGGTCTACTTTCAGTCTACACCCTCCCACCATTAGGTCGTGAACGCGCGTTTAAAATTCAAGCGTGGCCAGGAAGACTGTCGTGACCGCGCACTGGAGGCTTGACGTCACTGAGGCGCCCTGGCTTTCCTGAGCCGCTGGTACTGCTGGAAAAAATATGGGAAAATCAGATAGGTATCTATCGACTAATTAACATAAAATGACAGTTTCTGCTGCTGATTTCCATTTGACAGAGGATCCATTATTGGTACTGATTTGAGTTTCACGAGACAACGAGAAAGGTAGTTTGTTTGGAAAGGTTTTTTACCATTGGCTATTGTGTTAGCGAGAAAAAAATAGAGGTTCTGCTTGACCACATAAATTGGATGGACTAGCTTCTGAATATCACAGCAGGCTAACGTTACAGGTACGTGCATTTGGTGTTTTAGCCTTTTCCTTGATTAATACTAGACTCGCAGTTAGGTATGTGAAGCTCAGAATGAAGAAATGTGTAGCTGAAAATGAAATCCACTCGTTGAAGGAGGAGGAAAATTGATAGGATTTGATATGGGTGTCTCCAAAGCAAACCCTGTAGCTACATCGTCTCTAGGGTTGTGCCAAATGCTATAATTCTGGTTCAGTGTGTCACATCTTGACACCACATTTAAATGATCTCATCATGTCACGCATCTAGTTATTCAGCTGACAGACACTTGCTTCTTTGTTTGTTCAGTCTTACAAGCTTGGAGATTTTTTTTTTCTTACAACGTCCACCGTGGACAGTCATCTTTTCCCTCCCTTGCTAGTTTTCACCCAAAACGTCAGTACATTGTAAAAACGATTCAGAGGCTGAAGATTTACTCCACATACAAAATATACGAACCAATTTACATACGTCTCGTGAAACCGACAGCTGCTTAGAGCTAATACGTCGGTAAAGGTAGAAATACTAGCCTTTACTGTTAGCTGGTATGTTAACTGTATGTTAGCTGCTAGCAAGGCCATGCAGACTGCCTAAATAAACGGCTGTGGTGAAAATGTTACTTAAAAACAAATATACAACAGAGCAAAAACCAGAATAGTAAGATACATATCCGTGCATAAATCTGCTTGAAGTCTAACTTACAACGTTAGACACCAAAATGGACTGACAGAAGGGTTTTGACTGATTCAACTTAAACTTTAATAAGGATAAAATTAAAACAGTGGTTCCCAAACTGTGCTTAGGTATATGCTTAATTGGTCATTTAGGGACAGTGTTGTTCTAAGGGACCTTCTACTCATTTTCATTATGTCAAATGTTTAAAAGTGAACCAAAAATTAAATGATATGGAAAACCCCCTGTATATAAAAAAAACCCCTGGCTTGTTTGATATAGCGCACCCATAATTTGATGTACCTTTATTTGGTTTTTACTGCTACTTTATCAATTTTACATGAATTCAGTTGTCTTGTTATTTAATATGATATGGTTCTGCAGTTTATAAGGGGCATGTGTTTTCTTTGCAGATCGGTGTCACAATTTGCAACACTGGATTGCTTCTGTTGCAAGAGAAAAGTCTGTCAGGATTATCTGTTTGTGAGAGTGTATTGCATCAGAGCTCTGCTTTATCATGAACATTGTGCCAACGGTCTCCAGTTGAAGCAGGATTTGCACAACTGGTGAAAGTCACAACGACTAATTCAGCAAGAATAAATACAGATACTTGAGGTTCTCCTTGAGTTTTACTGCCAGTTCCATTTTTCTTTTTAGTAGAAGATGTACGGTAGTGCCCGCTCTGTTGGCAGAGGGGATGCCAACCATAGTGGAGGGAGAGATGGGGGTGGTAGTGGTAATCAGGGATCTGGCCGTTCCCCTCGCCTTCCACGCTCTCCTCGGATGGGGCACCGTCGCACCAACAGCACTGGAGGCAGTGGAGGGGGTCCTGGAGGAGCAGGAGGCAAGACGCTTTCCATGGAGAACATCCAATCCCTCAATGCTGCTTATGCCACCTCAGGACCAATGTACCTGAGTGACAATGAGGTTGCCATGGCAGGTGACCACATTCCCAAAAGTGGTGGGACAGTGATGACCATGGGGAAACCGAGGGTGACGTATGGGTCAAGGAGCAGCAGCAGCAGTGGGGTTGTGGCTGCTAGCACTCCCAACATCTCCACCTCAGTACCTGCTAGTGCTGTGTTGCCAGCTGGCATGATAGCAGGTGATGCTCTAGCTTTCGGGGACCACCACATGGCATCCACTGTGCCCCATTCTCTGAGGCAGGCCAGAGACAATACCATACTTGACTTGCAGACCCAACTGAAAGAGGTATTTTGCTCATTTCTTTTAGTTTGCAGATTTTTGATGAAGAGGCTAACTTACTAGGTTTGACAGGCTGTGAACTGCTACACAGTATTTATGTGCTACTCTGTTATACTACTTTCTCAGGTTCTGCGTGAGAATGAGATGCTGCGGCGAGAAGTGGAAGTTAAGGAGAGCAAGCTCAGTTCCTCCATGAATTCTATCAAGACCTTCTGGAGCCCGGAGTTAAAAAAGGAGCGTGCTCTCAGGAAAGATGAGGTTTCTAAGATTGCTGTCTGGAAGGAACAATATCGTGTGATTCAAGATGAAGCACAGGTGAGTGTTCCCTTGTATTTGTTTGAGTACATAGACTAGATGTGTCTGCCTCAAAATTCCTGTTTCTGATGTGTTGAACTCCTTTTTCTCCATTTGAAGAGTGTCATCAATCTAACAGGATCAGCCATGTTTGGCTGAAAAGTGAATTTCACCCAGTGTGTTAGCTTTAGGACAAATGTGCTTTTCCTCTCTCTCTGCATAGGTTCGAAGCAGTATTTGAACATCTAGTTAATACTCTTATATGCACCTATATGCTTATGCTTAATAGATGAAAGTGGCCATAAATCTAATGGGTGCATTAGCATCTCTGTATGCTTTAGAAATTACTGCATGTGGTGAACATGTTTAAGATGTGTAAAAAGCACAAATTTACAACTAGGTGTACGGTATGTGTAATATTTACTTCACTAGTCTTTTTCTTCTCTTTTTAGTCCTGCCCATGAATCAGGGAAACACGTTTTTTTTTTCTCCAATCTGTGATCTGAAGTGTCCAATCGCTAACTGTTTTCAATAAATAGATGTGTCATTCTATAACAGACTTTAGTGAAGGGCAGTTTCCTGTGTCCTTACTCATGTCTCTTCCAGGCAGTCTCCTAGCTTCTCCGGGCAGCAGTAAGTGAATTGAGATGTACCTTATGACGGTGGACCGGAACTGCATACAGGAACAATCAGTTAAGGGAACTGGGATGTATTCACAGTCTTAGCAAAATTTGAAACCAGTTCCACCAAAAGTTAATCAGTTTGTCATCTTTCATACATAAACTGTACACATATGATTAACAAAAATGTATAAGTGAATAAATATAGGACAAGTTTTGTGTTTAAAGTCAACAATGAGTTGTGGGAATTATTTCATTAATGAAGAATAGTTTTTGTTTCATCATGATTCTTAATGGTTGGGTAGACCTGTA